TTTGGGCCACGTGACCTTTGCTGACCTCTGTAGGTCAAACGGCTGGGAGTGCCACCGAATGACTTGGACTGTGAATTGGGCATGTCATGGCCTATATTGTGTGCGAGTTTCAGCTTGATCGGAGGTGTCCCGAATCTGGGCTGAATCCGGGCTGCGACGTATTGAGTGTCGTTTATTTGCACATTTTGACCTGCCAAGGTCAAACGGGGTCACATATCGAAAAGCGGTTTTTAAGGAAAGTTACTACGGCCTATGGGCTACCCGATGATGTGCTTTGATGTGGAATTCGGTCAATCCATCTACTCGAAAACTGCTGTGCAAGTGTATTTTCGACATAGCCCACAAATGACCTTAGGTCATTGCATGACCTTGAGAGGTCAAATGAGTGTTGGGAAAGTAAGATTAGATGCTGGCGAGTCGATTGGTGCCATTTTTAGCGCTCTAGCTCTACTGAGTGGGTCACAATCTGCTGTGCAAATTTGGGCCACGTGACCTTTGCTGACCTCTGTAGGTCAAACGGCTGGGAGTGCCACCGAATGACTTAGACTGTGAATTGGGCATGTCATGGCCTACATTGTGTGCGAGTTTCAGCTTGATCGGAGGTGTCCCGAATCTGGGCTGAATCCGGGCTGCGACGTATTGAGTGTCGTTTATTTGCACATTTTGACCTGCCAAGGTCAAACGGGGTCACATATCGAAAAGCGGTTTTTAAGGAAAGTTACTACGGCCTATGGGCTACCCGATGATGTGCTTTGATTTGGAATTCGGTCAATCCATCTACTCGAAAACTGCTGTGCAAGTGTATTTTCGACATAGCCCACAAATGACCTTAGGTCATCGCATGACCTTGAGAGGTCAAATGAGTAATGGGAAAGTAAGATTAGATGCTGGCGAGTCGATTGGTGCCATTTTTAGCGCTCTAGCTCTACTGGGTGGGCCACAATCTGCTGTGCAAATTTGGGCCACGTGACCTTTGCTGACCTCTGTAGGTCAAACGGCTGAGAGTGCCACCGAATGACGTGGACTGTGAATTGGGCATGTCATGGCCTACATTGTGTGCGAGTTTCAGCTCGATCGGAGGTGTCCCGAATCTGGGCTGAATCCGGGCTGAATCTGGGCTGAATATGGGCTGTCTTGACGGACATGATGTTCAGCCGCACGTCCACAAGCTCTTGGACATTATCTCTACCGTCCATCCTCGGAGATATCGATCCTCATCTTCACGCCTCACGCAGTGACGTGTCATTCCTAACGAGACATGAATAGTTCACGGTTTCAGTGGGCTTCTTGGGCTGAGGCCGTATTTAAAGCGTCCAGGCGAGATGGTGATTTATTGCCTATCAGTTATCACATTATACCTAGCTACGTGGGAAAAAAGGGAGCTATATCTTTCAATAAACTTTTGTGCTGCCCAAGTGGCTAATCAAATACTAATAATCACTTCCTTTCTTTTTCTGTTGCCATTCTGTTCCACTTTCGGTGCGATCGTAAATGGAATGTTTCACCCGATTGCTGTTTCGGTATAAAGGCCGTCACTTGAAAGTAATTTGTAATGATCCAAGATCATTAAAGAGAGGAAATATATGAAAAATTGACCTCTCCTCGACATTCAAATTATTTGAATAGCGAAATATTACTGTATTGATATTTCGGCCAACAGGCCTTCTTCAGAATGCGAAAGTGTACACAAGTGTACAAGAATACAATGCATGTTTTTATTGTATTCTCGTACACTTGTGTACAGTCTGTCTTAATTAAAAGTACCGCGCAAAGTGACGGTGGATCCATCAAGCCTGATCGAGGAAGGGCCCGCTATAATTTGAAAGTCACCGAACCAATTGAGGTGGGGAATGGACGAGGATGTCCATTGCTTCGGTGACTCAAATTTGGCAGTCCTTCATCGGTCAGGCTTGATGGATTCACCGTCACTTTGCGCGGTACTTTTAAGACAGACTGTACACTTTCGCATTCTGAAGAAGGCCTGTTGGCCGAAATATCAATACAGAATAGTTGGTTATTCAAATAATTTAAATGTCGAGGAGAGGTCAATTTTTAATATATTTTCTCTCTCTAATATTCATGATGTTCCTATGTTTTCTGATGTTTTTATGTATATAAGTAATATCACTGTTTGTGATACCGTCTATTTATATGTGATGCAGATTGTGTCACCGTCTATTTATATGTGATGCAGTTTGTGACACTGTCTATTGTGCCGCTGTTTTATCACCGGCCTTTTATACCGGGTGGCCCAGAAAAAACGTTCCGAACTTTGGAGGTCTATGTATCAAATTCGAGTGCAAATAACGAGCCAAAATTTTCATCAAGTTTGCGTCATTTCTTTGCGCATTGGTATGCCAAATTATAACACTATACCATCATTTTCAAGCTGGCAATCTTGAGTTGAATTAAGCAAGACGTTTTTGCTTTTTTTGCCGATGTCAAACGATAGTGATGATTGGGTTAGACGTCCCATGTTATAAAAAGAAATAAAAAAATAGAGCACTTGAATGAAACCAACACGTTTGTTCTTATTTTAAATAATGTTGTCTCACTTATGTGCCAAATATTCAAATACTGAGCCAAAATGGTGCTCATGGATGCCATTCGTTTCAACACCAAATCACGTTTCCAGCTGGAGGAGTGGCACGGTGCATGGATTACTGATGATTACCCTCCTTTCAGTAGATCAAACGATAAAACGACCGGATAAGGAAAACAAACTAAAGCAGACTGGTTCCTGTGCCAGAAAACCACAGAAAAGCTTATGAAAAACAACATTGCCAGCAGATGACAATAAAAAACTGGTTGAAAGGCTACCCTTTCCCAGGAATGTCAGCCAGGAAAGCATTTGAACCACAAGATGGTTAGAAAACTGGAAACTTCTTCCGATGCCGCTGTCACAGAGCCATTGTCGTTGCCTCAGGGAATGTGTCATCCTGAGACCCGAACCATCAATGAGACTAGCTGTCAGTAGAAGTCATGGCTCTAGGCCGCGGTGCTGCGGGGTGAAAATGACCCGTTCACTCACATTATTAAGTAAACATCGGAGCAAAAAAAGTAATTTTTACATGGCATGCTTGAAACACGAACCATTTGAAAAGTAATTTACCGAACACCATGAAAATCACACCATTTACTCAAAATATGTGTTGCATTGACTATTCGAAGTTTCAATGTTGTATCTTTATCACTTTCTGAGAAATATTGATTTAAAGTTGGGAACGTTTTTTTCTGGGCCACCCGGTATAACCATGTCACCGTTTGTGACACCGTCTATTTATACGTACCACAGTTTGTGATGCTCTCTTTTTATATGCTCTCTATGATGCAGTTTTTGACACCGTCTATTTATATGTGATGCAGATTGTGACAACGACTAGCTATATGTAATGCAGTTTTAACCCGCGCACCGACGGGGGTCTGCGCCAACTTCGCACCGACGGGGGGGGGGGGGCGGATGACCGCCCCCCCCCCTGAGATCTCGAGAACGAAGCAAGATAGCGACAAGCGGTAAACGGCATCGGATACGCACGGCCAAGATCTACAATTTTTACAAAGGTCATTTTCAGGTCAGGTCAAAGATGACGTCACAGGGGTCGAAAAAGTCAAAATGGCGGCGCTAGATATGGAGAGAGTTTTTCTCAAATAACTTTCGAATTAGTCAAGATAGGAACAAACTAAGGGCATCATCGTGATCCTCTCGTCAATCCGCATCGAATGATATATATGTTGACCTCGAAAGGTCAAGGTCAAAGGTTGACCTCAGGTCACGTGACCTCGAGGTCATCATGTATATCATTCGATGCGTCTTGACGAGCTGAACACAATGAGACCATCCACGCGTCTGTATCTTGTTCCTGTACGGAGTTATTGGCCAAAAACCTTTGGTGACCTTTAATGACGTCACATGACCTCACAGCTGCCCAACAGCAAAACAGACCTCAAGGTAGTGAAGGTTGATCGTATATGAAGTCATGTAGGTATGGTAAATGGGGCCATTCCGACCCGTTTTAGTGGTAAAAACAGGGAGTTGATTTTTCCCCCATTGACTTATAATGAGGAGGTCGCAAAATTGACCTGACCTTAGGTCACCGATATCAAAATTCCGAGATATACAAATTGTAGCTACTAATGACCTTATAATATCCTGCGACTTTCAAAGGCCTCCGACATCTACTATAGTTCTGGCACGGTGACAAAGTTGCAAAAAAGTGACTTGAGGTTGGGTCATTCAAAGTGACCTGGTGACCTGACCTTAAAAGGTAGGAGGTTCAAACTTGCACACCATGTGTAAAATTGATGAGGCTATAGTCATACCAAAGTTCGCGGCGCTACGCGCCGCGGTTTTCCCGCTATTCGCGAGAAACCTCAGGGGGGGCGGATATCCGCCCCCCCCGTCGGTGCGCGGGTTAACATAGTCTTTATGTGTTGCTGTTTCGACACCGTCTTTTTAAATGTGATGTGGTTGGTGTCACCGTCTATTTATGTGCTGCAAATTGTTACTCTATCAATTTATATGTGCCGCAATTTGTGACACCGTCGATATGTGTGCGGCAGATTGTGGCTCCATATATTTATCTGTGTTGCAAATAATGACACCGTCTATTTACATGTGCCGCTGTTTGTGACACCGTTTACTTATGTGATGCAGTTTGTGATACCGTCTATCTATGTGTGCCGTAGGTTGTGATACCTCAGGTTGATAAGTTAATGGTATACTTACATTAAATTGAATGAAACAAAACGAATTAATTATATAAAATTCGTTTTGTTTAATTTAATTTAATTAAAGTATACCATTAACTTATCAACCTGAGTAAAAGATAAAATGACTTTAAAGTCCCACTTACCATTTATCTGTATGTGCCGCAGTTTGTGACACCGTCTATTTATATATGCCACAGTTTGTGATACCGTCTATTTATATGTTTTGCAGTTTATATCACCGTCTCTGTATCAGTGTCTTATTTTGTAACACATGTCTGTACTGGCCGCAGCGTGCCGCCGGTCTGGGCGCGGTGGTTCGGGGACGCTGACAACTGCTGCATCCTGGGCCTGCTGTTCTGCGTGTTCAGCGCCCTGCTGGCCGCCGGCGGCACGCTCACCTACTTCGGCTTCTTCTCGGAGCAGTCGGTGACGTCGGCCGAGCCGCACCACCTGTCGGCGGCGCTGGCGGCGCTGGGCCCGCTGCTGCTGGCCGCCGCCCTGCTGCTGCTGGTCGCCGCCGGCCGGCTGTACCGCGCCGGCGGCTGCAGCGGCCAGCCCGAGTGGCTGCAGCGCCACCGACCCTACTCCACCATGGAGAGCGGCAGCCGCGACGGCAGCGTCAACCCCGGCTTCGAGAGCGCCGAGGGGTAGACGGACATCGAATTGTTATGGAAGTGTACTCTTGATTCGTCTCGATTGGAGTGTTAAGGTTACGCGCATCCTTTATATCTATTATGTTATGTCTGTTTCACTGTATGCGATGAAATACTAAGTGCCTCCTTATATTGTGCTAGAGGGACTCATGACAGACAAACCCAAGTCAGTCGGGCTGGCGGTACCAGACTGTGCTGAAAACATGCCGCTCGAGAGGAAAGTTGTATTTGATTTCGTGGCACAAGTGGACGGATCATATCCAGTGGAGTATGGGAGCCACACCTACAAAACATCAGCTAGCATCGAGCCGCGCTAACGTACACAAAATAGAGCGCGCTGTGTCCTCATTCCTCTGGCATACCGCCACGCTAATTCATAAAACACACTACAAAGACTCAACAATTTGTGGGCGGCTCGGCGGTACCCGGCGCCGGTCCCGGCGTCAGACATTGCCGACCGCGGCTCTGCCGTTCCTATCGGCGCAGGGCGTGCCTGGCCACGCCCTGGCCACTGCTGCTCCCTATACTGACCCTCCGATCACCGCACTGTTGACTAGCGTCGTTTATCAGTCCCTCAGCACATGAATGTGCGTGGAATGCGATCACTGAAAACCCCAGCCACCGCGTCCGGCCACCGCTCCATCTCAACCCACCATTCCCCAGTCGCTGCACTCACAGTCAGTGCACCTGCAGCTGATGTAAGTCAGCCAGCCGCCAGCCAACAACCATGGCCGACCAGCAGCCAATGGCTGCCAACAGCCATCGCCGGCCAACAGTCATCCCGGTCAACAGCTACCGCACCAACAATCCCCGCACCAACAGCCACTGTTCCTTCAGCCAGTGTCCGAAACTTCTGGACGGATAATATTCAATTTCTACGGTCTTCACCTTCCGGTCAGTTCACATTCTTCCGATCACTGTCACCAACCGATCTTGTAGCGCAAGTGCCACTAGCGCTGGCTAGCACTACACTAGCAGAAGAGTTCGGTATGCGATGAATTAATGTGGATGTCCATTGAACCAGCCGTAGTCCATGCTGTATCTTTGTGAAGTGCGCTATTACATTGTTCGGTTTAGTCGAACCTTACTGCCAAAGCCACGTTTTCCTGGAGCAGACGTTTTCTTCTTAGAACCCTGAAAAGAAAAACACACTTGAATGAAGAAGTTGGTAACAGACCACTGTGGCACCAAAGAAAGGAAAAGCGTGAGCCCGCAAGGTCGCTGTTTAATGAAACTACAAAACTAAGAACGTTAACACTTTTGATGAGTGATAAACTTGCGACTAATATCTCCCTGATAATGCAGCCAAGCTGTCAGAAATCAAATGAATATAGGACCTCGAAAAATGCATAAACATAATAAAACGTTTTGATCGCAATCCCAAATAGTTGATCTACAAATCGCCCCCATTGGGTTGGACGTAAGCCGCTCAATATGTAGTTACTGACACGGCTGTGGTGCGGAGAAAGGATGAGGCTTGGCTGTGGTGCGGTGCAGCAGGACGTAGGATGGACGGACAGGCGCAGGTCAGGACACCAGGGTGAGGGAGACACTCTTCAGAGTCGCCGCCGCCGCCGGTACCTCGTTCCGCATGTTGTCAATCACTTTGTCGATGTCTCTCTTCACGGTGCTGTTCAAATATTTGCTTAGTACTTTGTCCAAGTCTGGATGCTGAAGCCATACGTGGAATATCTCTTTGGCATGAATCCTGAAACATAGGATGCAACTGTGAGCATATTTTTAGGCGGTAGCCCAAAGATATCACAAAAGCCGAGTCTTCTCCCTCCTCTTTCTTGAATATGCGATTGACTCGCCCTGATGGAGAGGGAAGCTATAGATATATTTATGTCAAGCTCTAGTTTTACATTAGTATTTCTTCAAATACCTACGTTACATTAATCAAATTTTCAGTTTAACCACATTCACGGCGCGGATAGCACAGGCAACAGTGGCTCCACCGTACAAGGGGTGGCTCCACTGTGCACGGTGGCTCCACTGTGCATGGTGGCTCCACTATCGCCCACAGCCACCAGAGGACGCTGTATCAGCCGCTCACCGTGTCTGCAGGTCTCCCTCTCTGACCAGCTGGGCGGCAGCCGGCACCAGTTTGTCCGTGATGTCCTTCTGTCCACCCAGTGAGCCGGCAGGACCGAGTCGGGTGACCACGGCCGCCAGCAGTCGGGCCACTGTGGCTCGCACCTGACTGCTCCGGTGGCCCAGGCCCTCCCCGATCACCACTGCCACGGCGCGCGACACGGAGACGTTCTCTAGCATCAAGTCCAGCGCCCGGTTACTGTCGGCCTTGATGAACTTGTTGGTGTCGCTGGTCTTCTGTAGGAGGATGGCCACCATGCTCTCCATGTTCTGTGAGCATGGTGTGGCATGGTTGAGCTGACGACAACTCTGTATTGTGAACTAGAGAGCGAGTGGTATAAAGCTGAAGTGCCGATACAAAACCACCGATGCATAACGGGAGCTTATTTCCAGTCCGAGACAAATTTAGAACTTTGGCCGAGCTACCACACCGTTCATATTTGCATGGGTACAAATACAATGCACATTATGAAAAAGAGCTTGAATTGTATTAATAAAAAAATTAATAACTGTAATTATAATCCGTAGAAGACGGTCGGTCTGTTCATCAAAGCGTTTGAGGAAGCCTCAGGCCACTCACCGGCTCTGCCGCCTTGCCGACGTGTTGGAACATCTCGGCGCTGGTCTGCACGGCGGCGCGCAGCACCTGAGAGCGCAGGTTTTTCATCTGCTTCACGATGGCGGCCACGACGGTCTTGAGGTCGCCGCTGACTGTATCCGGATGGTGTCGGAACAGACGCACCAGGTCAGTCAGACCCGCTACCTCGCGCTCCCTGTGAAAGGTGATATGAAGGGTGATATGTTAGACCGACGGGACAGTCGGTATACATACACAGCAAGGTATGACTGGACAGTGGGAGTCCGTGAAAGTCACCGTTCCGTGCTTCTATCCTCAGGATACTGAGATCCTTCTCCTCCACGCTGCAACCCCCTCCGAGCTGGACAGGCAACTTTATCTCATGCGGGCTGCTCCCGAGGGAGCGCACCCCGTAGCCGGGTGCAGTGAGTGCGTTGGGGCTGGGTGGCCTGTCCTCTGGACGGGCTCAGCCCCGGCGACTCACTAGGGTGCCTGCCCAGACCAATGTCTCCCCCTAATTCCTGTCATCCTTCCGGCTCTGAAATGCTCTAATTGGACCGAAAGGGCCTAACCCAACAAATAAAAACAAACAACCCTGAAAGTTGCGACATGAGCCAGACAGCCGGTACAAACTCGTATAAGCGGAACGGTCAGACGGTAGGTACAGTCGGCACACATGGGACGGTCAGACAGGATGACAGTCCTTACACACGGGATAGTCAGACGAGAACGTCGATACACACGGGATGTCACACCGTGTAGCATGGGTGGAGCTTTTCCAGGAAAGTTGGTGGGGCAAAAAGTTGTCAAACCTACAATGTCCGATTGTTAAGTTCGATAAAATACAACGATGAATCTTTTTTTTTATTTTGCGTTTCTTTTTTTTCCAACTTCTAGCCATTTATTTGATCATTTGACCACCATTAACCACGCAAAACAAACGCACACAAACATTACATACAAAATTACAACATAATATGACACACATAGCTTAACAGCTTTACTAACAGACCTTTTAACAAAAAACACAAAACACAAAACCAAACAAAGCAAAAAAGAAAAAAAAATAAGCAAACGAACCCAAATAAAAGTGACGACATACGTAAGCAGTTCGGATCAACTAATAACGGCATTCGTGACCCTCCGCAGGGCATCATATCTATCCATTTTGTCATTTATTTGCGCGACATGCTTTTCCATAAGACTGTACTGTTGCAGCGTGCTGATAAAGGTCTGGAAGGTTACCGGTCGGTTACTAACTCTACAATTCCAAATATACTGTTTGGCTACCAAAATCAGTAGATTTAAAGGGACCCTCCCACCTTAACATTAGTTTTGAGTTGAGATAGCCAAGTTTGCGGCCAGGCTCAGAAACCACCATTTATCCTGGTCGCAACCCCCGCAGCTTTATGGTGTTCAAGAAATTTCTTCCCTTTACTTGCAGGGTGGGACCAGCGTGGTCCCTATCTCTTAACCATTACGGGAATCTGATGACGTCATCAGGCTTTCGAACGTCCGTTAAATGTTTGACTAAAACGTTTTGTAGCACGCGGTGGTATATGCTGCTTTGCGCGCAACAAATGCCGCACTTTCAAATAAAGTCGCTAGGAACAGCGGAGATCCCAAAAAGTAAACAAAAGTAAAAGTCTAATATCTTGAAAACCGGTGAATATTTTTCGATAAAATTTGGTAGATATTCGTTTTTGCTCTTTCTGAACCGAGCGACATCACTTTCATGCCAATTCATTAACTTTTTTGAAGGTGGGAGGGTCCCTTTAAGCGATCAACAAAGTGAGCTTCGCCTTCGACCCCGCATATTATCTGTTGACAACGATGAATCAATTCTTTTCATTACAGAGATAATATTTTGCATTACACAGACATTTCAAAGCTCCTCAATGCGAAAACATTGGTTTGCTAAGCAGTAAAGTCCTGCAAATCGGCTTAAGTTGGTGGGGCAAAACTCTTATTGGTGGGGCAAAATGGCAAGTTAGTGGGGCGGCCGCCCCACCAAGTGAATAGGAAGCTCCGCCCCTGCCGTGTAGACAGACCGACGACAGTCAATACGCACCAGACGCTCGGCATACTGGCCAGACAGTCGGTGGCTGGAAAATCATGCTGTCTACCACAATCGATTAGCTGACCATTCTTTTTTCACTAATGCATCTACCTACAGATAGAAGATCGTTTGATTGATGTTGTGGAATGAATAAAATATCACGAAAAAATGCAGGCATATGTGCTAGCATTTCTTTTCCCCTGCAGCTAAATGATCCCAACACATGCCAGAGATTCCCTTATCCTTCTATTTATACTATTATTAACTGTGACTCCCTGGTCATGAGATAATATCCCAGCTCCCGTCTCGCGGTGCTGGTCAGTTTCACCTAACAACGTCGTTTTGTTTTCCCTGGGTTCCTAATGTCCACATAAATCCATTGAGACCGAGTGCGCTGCTCTACTGACCAGTCGTCCGAGTTGAGTTTGCGGTAGGCCTCGTCCAGCGCCTGCCGCGGGTTGGCGAACCGCTCCAGTTGCTGACCGAACACCGAGCTGGCGCTGCCCGGTACGCTGGACTTGTTCATGTCGGCGCCGAACCTGACGGCCACGCAACAGCAGTGTCAAGTTAAGGTAAATACACCTACACTTGCAGTTCCACGGCAAACGTCGTTGCTGCCTAATATTGCCACAAGACACCAAATAAAACACGCCACGGGGCAATAAGTGTTACGAAGGCTCAAGTGCCCGGTTGGCGGGTTGGTATATAATAGAACTGGTAGTTCGAGGTTTGGTTAACGCTTTTAGCCGCTAGCCAGACATTCCCATGGAGCATCTTGAGCAGGTTACAGTTTGCACGTTTTCATCTTACGTTTTTGACTTTGGCAGTGTGGGCTGTTTCGGTCGGTGGGTGGCCAGGTTTTGCATGCTGCCAGACTTGCGCTCTATGCTGGGGCTGGGGGGCGCGTGCGGCTGCTTCTCTGGGCCGGATAGGTGAGGTCCTGAAAACAGTGAGCGTAAGTCAATGTTATTCTTTCAGCGGCATTGTGCACTAAATAACAGTTACGTTTATCCTGTTGATGTAAATAACGCTATGAAAGCCATTCACCATCATCGCATGACAGCACCGGATCAGCTGCTAAACTACCGGGATGGGGTGGACCGAGACACACTGAACTATCATCAGAAGAGCTGCACAATCTCCAGCTGGAGTGCAAAACACGATAAACTAGACCACATTCCCAGCGAAGTGTATCACTTCCCTGATTGTAAGGACCCTTCCTCGGCATCCCAACACCCACCGTGCGCTCCGGGCCGCGCGAGGTGCGTCCTCTCGTGGCTGACAGCTCGCCTCGGCGGCGCCTGGCGCGGGGAGCTCAGGGTGGGAGGCCCGTTGGCAGCAGGCACCGTCAGCTGGCTGTTTCTTCTCACCGCTGCCGAACACATATTGCACAGTTAGACTGTTTTGGGACGGAATTCGGTAGGTACTTAATGATTTGCTTTCATCGACAGTCGATTGATTACTTGGGAATCCATTGGGCAGTGATAAAGATTTCACGGTGAAAGATGTTTTTTCGTTATTCAACTTTTACCGCTTGCCATTTAAAGCTTAGGTATATTGAGGAACTCTACGCTCTTAACTTTTCAGATGCTATGAAATGATCAAGGCTGGGTATGCTTATGGACTGCACAGGACCTTGTGTGAATTCTGGCATTGATGATTTTTTTTTAGCTCGTAAAACTGTTGTACGTATTTATGTCAGAATAAAATCAATTGTAAGTAAATACAGCAAGGAAATCCTTTTAATCTAGCGAACCAAATCAAACAAGCGAGCTAGCGCTTCCTCAATGAATAAACCATACTTCATTTGTATAGGGCTATTAAAAAACGGTAAATATAATGACACGAAATTATCCCAAAGAAAGTGATCTGCTCGTTCTCACCGAGCCGGGAGTGGACGGCGCCGTTCACGCCCTCGGTCTCCGGGTGGCGGCCGTTGCGGACCCGTTCCTCCTTGTGCGCGTGGTGAGGATCAGCCGGCTCCCGATGGCCGGCCCGCTCCAGGCCCTTCCGCATCTCATTCCGCTTCGTCAGCAGCTTCAGCTTGCTGCGAGTCGTGTTGGACAGCGTGATGCCGTTGGGGTCCTGTGGATACGGGGAGGGAGGAATAAAAATGTTATCGGCGACGGCAACACAATGTTCCGTTGGGGATGATGGCTTTATGTGCCTAACACACGACGAAAGAGCCCCAAAAGCTCAATCGAAAATTGCTCATGCACTTAACATGTCATCACTTGCTGTTATATCAAACAATCAGTTATAAAATTTATCCTGACATATTTTCCAAACTTAATAAATGAAACTGTTCTAAACAAATAAAAAACGTCGTCTTCGGAAGCTGCTTTTATCATGGGCGAACTGTGCATATCACGCAGAAGAAAATCGCATGCCCCGCTATTCTGGTCATAGATCGTCCTATTCTCGTCTGTGAAATACGAGCTTCCGTTCTTGTTAGATTGATAATCGGCCATCGGACAATATTACCCCTGAGCAGTTCGTATTCCAAACCAATGCACAATCTTTACTGGCTGTTTTTGAGCTGCGGGTGTCCGGTCAGTGTGGGATGTTTTTTTTGGGGGGAGGGGGGTGGGGCGATTGGGCGACCTAGCGCTTTACCTCGTCACTAGAACCGGAGTGGTCATCGGCCGTGAAGGCGAACTGGGAGTGTTTGGTCGGAGCCCGCAGCGCTCTGTCCACCTGGTCCGTACCGCCATAGCTGATACCTGCTGGTGAAGAGAGGCGTCAGAAAGCGACCCGCCGACCACATCAGGCCACGAAAACAGTCACAGACTGGTACAGATGCATGTGGTAACGACCAGCTATGTGGCTTACTTATTTACTCGATACACATCTTACGTAAGGTTGAAAAGTTTGCCATCGGGTGTAAATGTCATTCATGATTCAAAATGAGCATTCTGAACATGCCATGCCAATGCGTATGCCAAAAGCCACCGATCAAAACCCATGCAGACTATACAGTAAACACAGAAGCCAAAGCAAGCAAATCACACGTTCAAACTAAAAGTGACATCCTCTTGACCTTATGCAAAAGTCACCCGTATAAGAACTCGCCGACAGTTTGATACGTGACTACAAGCTATAAGATGACCCGAGGGACTTTATCAAGCCGGCTGGCAACTGGGAGTAGAGAGAGCCCTTCCCCAGTGAGAAGGGACACTGGACAGAGGGCCAAGCTCGCTGTCGGAGTGGCCGGGAGCAGCGGAGGGACTTACCGCTGCGTCTCCTGGTAGGAGAGAGCAGGGCCGCCGCCGTGGACTGACGGTGTGCCGTCCCTGCCGTGGAGAGCAGGGTCGAGGTGGACTGACGCTGTGCCGAGCCTGCCGTGGACAGATAGGTCGCTGTAGACTGACGTTGAACCGCCCCACCAGCATGGATGGCCGTGTACCCTCCGAGACCGGCCGGCGGTGAGCGGTGGACACGTCCAACCGAGCGCGATCGGCTGGCCCCCGCCGCCAGTCCGTGGCTCAGAGTCTGGCCTCGCAGCACTGAGGCCACTGTGGGCTTGGATGGAGTGACGCGGCGTGGCCCGGCCGGTGGCGGACGCTGAGGTCGGGGTAGCTGCGGCGCCGGCCGGCGGCGCTGCTCCGGAGACAGTCTGCTGACCAGCACCGGCAGCCGAGAGGGACTCTGCGACTGCCGGCCGGACCGGCGCCCCAGTCCCGAGCTGGGGCTCACCAGTGGCGAGGGGGACCCTCCGCTGCCGATCGGTGAGCTGCTGGAGTCGTGCAGCGCTGCCGTCTCCCTCAGCCGGTCCGGCGAGCTCAGCAGAGGGACTGGTTCATCGTCGTCACCGGCCACCAACATCGAGCTGTCCACCCCGTCACTGAGCATTTCTTCCAGGCTGAGACCTTCTTCAGACACACTGGCCGAGGGCTGGCTGGTGCACGGGGCACTCCAGGAACCCACCGGCCCCTGCACGGGCCACTGGGGCACATCGGTCGTCCCCGGCGGTGGCGCCGACAGAGCCTCTCTCGCCTCGGGCTTGCCAGAATTCCATGGGACCGGCAGATTCTGAGACACAGTAGATACACGAAACTGGAAGACTGGCGGTTTCAGCGCGGCTGCGTGCATGGTGGGATCACTGCCCTCTCCTCCGGGCCCGTGCGCGCAGCTCACAGCACTATCGGCACCGGCGGCACCCTCTGAGCACCCGGCGCGCGGCACGGCTCCACCGGACGGCACCGTCTCAGGAGCGCACTCCGCCGGCAGCACAGAGCGTACTGGACGTCGGCGGTCGATAGTGGCTACCGGCGCAGGTGACGGCCGCGCCACCCACCGGCCAGCGGAGCCCGGGCCGGTCGGAGCGCCGCCGACCGACGCATCAGTCGGTATGAATGGAGGACGGTCTGAAAGGCACTGGTCCTGGTTCTTGTCCGCGTTGGTCCCGGTTTCAGATCCTTTAGGGGGCCTTGTTGAGGCTTTATTTATTCGCGATGAAATCTCATCGGCTCGGCAGTGGTCCTTTTCCACCTCACTTGAAATATTCTTACTCTTGAGTAATTGCGAGTGTTGCTTCGCTAACGGATCACCAATATCATTTCTATATTCTACAGTCCACTTCTCATGAGAGTCGAAAGATACTTCATTAATGCAACAGGATATCTTCTTGTCATCCATTTCGAACGTCTTCTGTCGGTCGCACGCCGTAATTTTCACAACGCTGGAGGTCACTTGAGACTTACTTTCCGTCGTGTATCTGATAACATCACTGCTCACAGGGTGGGTCTTGTTGACATCGCTCCGCACCGGCTCTACTCTCCTGACGGTCAGCTGAGCGCAGCCGTCGCTCTCCTCAGAGTCTGAGGAGGACACAGAGAGGAGTGCCGTTCCTCTGACGACGGTGGGAGCTTCTCCCCACCGCCAGAGCCGGCCGCCGGTCGGAGGCGCACCACCAGGCATCGGCCGCTGACCGATGGCACCGGTATTCGTTCTCAATCCGCTCTGCGCTTCTAACGTAAGCTGCACAGGTCTGTGAGGGCCGCCGCCGATCGACTCGACACTGCGATGGCCGGTGACCGGGATGGGACCGACCTTCTGGGAGTAACGATCACCAGTTGAGCTGCCACAGCGCTCTGCCGAGCCACCACCGCCCGGTTCACTCTCAGACGAGCTCTGGCGGCCCACGCCAGCCGCTATCATGGCCTGAGCTTCCTGGAGAGCACTCTCTTCACTCAGCTCTGGCTCCAACTCCTCCCCAGCCTCTGACTCCGGCGCCGGCTCCGGTTCAGGCTCCAGCTGCAGCTCTGGTTCCAGCGAGGACTCCAGCTCAGGGTCCAGCGGCGGGTCCAGCGGTGGATCCAGTGGTGGATTCAGCGGCGGGTCCAGGGGTGGATCTAGTGGTGGATCCAGTTGAGGATCCAGCTGCGGGTCCAGCGGAGGGTCCAGCGGCGGCTCCGATCCGGCGGCCGACGGCTCCGCTGAGTCGGAGGACTCGGGCCGCTCCTGCAGCGAGTCCGACTGGACCGAGTAGAAGCTGCTGCTGCTGTTGTCGCGGCGCAGCATGTCGCCGAGTCCGGCCAGGCCGTGGATCAGCTCCCGTTTGAGGAGCTCGCAGCGGTCCGTGGCGCCGGCGTCCGTCACCTCGGCCGACTCTCGGTGCGGCCTCTCGGCCATGGCTGGAGCTTGAGCTGCTCTGCCGATGAATCGATGCCATAGGGCGGCCGGCGGGGGCTCCGGGGATCGATCCGGCGCTGGCCAGCCGGTCCAGCGCTGGACGCGGCCGCGCCACTCGGCCCAGCTCCACAGGTCCTCGGGCTGCTGGCCGCCGGAGCCGTCCAGCAGAAGGTGCGGCTCCAGAAAGGACAGGATCGCCTCGGAGCGGGCACGGGAAGGAGCGGCACCCTGGCTGAGGGCCAGCACCCGGGAACTCGTCACCGAAACATCAGACGCAAATCACAGAGTGGGGAATCGGGTGTTATTAACAAATATTAAATCGGATCAAAGGATCTGATTAAATGAACGTTTCAAAAGATGGTAGGGTCATCGATTAGCAGAGGTGGGCATCGCTACCGAAATTTGGAAACCGCTACCGCTACCTTCCGCAACCTAAGGTACCCAAAGCGCAATCGCAACTCCGAAACTATTTTGCAGATCGTAAAACCGCAACTCGCAACTCCGCAACTCCGCAACTCCGCTACCAACCTCTATTAGGTTCCTATGTTTTATCAGTTTTAGTCCTGTGCAGTGTTTTGTCTGACAAGTGACAGGTAGTACTTTTGGTTGACCTCTGTTGGTGACCTGACTGTTGGTGACCTCTGATGACGTCACGTGACCTATAATGCTCAATGCGCAAGTCATTGCGACATCAGTCGACGTAAATGACCTGCCAGTGCTACTCTTTGCATGTTTTAGTTGTTTGGGATCATTTTGCCGCAAATCCGGACGAGTTGTATTTTCTCCCATTGACTTATAATGGAGAGGTCACACAGTTGACCTTACCTTAAGTCACAAATATAAAAAAAATATGAGACAATACACTTTGTACCTATATCTTGTTACCCTTGTCACATGCAGACAGTTTCAAAGTGATCGGTCAATAGGTGTATCTATATTCGGCTTGAAGCTTCGGCTTGAAGCTTCCGAAACCTACCAAGAGGACTGATCCACCAGAATTACGGGAGACTGCAACCCTGGAGGCCCTGGCCGCTTGCCCAAATCCAGACCTCACAATCTGGTCTGATGGCTCTGCCCTAGACGGTACCAAGAAAGGCGGCGGAGGAGCCCTCCTCAAACTGCACCGTGAGGGACGCAAGATCAAATGTACCATACCGGCAGAAGTCGTATGCAGCAGCATGCAGGCGGAGCTGTCGGCGATGTCGGAGGCGTTAAAATGTTTCCTGGGACTGCCCTCGCTGCCATTCAGTCTGTCCTGCTCTGCTCGGACTCCCTGTCCGGCCTCCAACTGCTCAGCCGAGGCCCAGCAGCGCAGGAATCGGCCGTGACACAGGGCATCTGGGCTCTCCTACACTCTGCCGCGGCCGGGGGAGAGCTATCAGTCTCCAGTGGATCCCGGGCCACGCTTGGGTCGAGGGTAATAAAGAAGCGGACCGCCTAGCAAACATCGCGGCAACATCAGGCGACCAGCGTCGGATCCCAGTTGACCTGGCCTGTGCGCGCATCACCATCAGACACTAGGCCGGCCGGCTCACCCTCGATCGCTCCAAGCATCACCCACATCTGGAGAACACCCCTGGCCACGAAGACCTCGACCGATGGGGACAGACCACTGTCTCGCATATCCGCAGCGGCTGCTGACCCCTGGTCCGGGCCACACTCTTCAGGATTGGCCTGGCCGCCAGCTCTCTCTGCGGACAGTGCGGCGAAGAGGACACGATCGTGCACCTGCTATGCGAGTGCCCGGCCGCGCAAGAACGCAAACCCGGCTCTGGGGGCCGCTCCCCACCCTCTAGGATGTGCTCTCGGGGCCGGCTAAATACGTCACATAGTTCCTCGACCGAGTGGGGCGGACCACGCCACCTGTGGACCAGCCCCGGTCTGCTGCGCCCTAGAACACAGCCGGCAGTGCGCGGAAGAAGAAGAAGGGAGAGCCGGCTGACGGATCGGAACAGGTGCATTTATCCGAATCCTGCGTCGAGAACGACCAGTCGCTCTGCTCCGTCGACCTGGCCGGCGACTTCACGTACCGGCTGGTTGGCGTCGTACAACTTAACGGCGGTGCCAAGCACTCGGGATACTACCTATG